AATAACTAAAGAACAGTATTGTCCGAGAAATTAATGACTCAGTACCCAAGGAAAGCACAATTATCCACTATCTCGCAGACTATGCGGTAGTTGCATTACAAAAGGAAACTAGAAAACTGCGGGTTGTATACGACGCATCAGCACATCCAACAATGTGTCCCTCATTAAACGATGTGCTTTATCAGGGACCAGTCCTCCCTCATTGAATATGCGATATCTTAGTTCACTTCCGAATTGTGATGATCAGTGACTTTAAAAAGATTTTTCACAAGTGCGATTACACGACAGCGACAAAAACGCTACAAGATTTATTTGGCTTCGGGACGTTTCACAACGCTGCGAACCACGGAATATGGTCACATATAGATTCACACGGATAACCTTGGGACTCAACTGCTCACCGTTCCTCCTAGCAGGAACAATCAAGCATCCTTAGAAACTTATTTGCACAACACAATACGATACTAGCTCAGGAGCTCACAGAGAATACTATGTCGACGACATGACCATCACAAGCTCTTCGCTAGAAGGAACCATGGGAAAAAAAGAGAGTCAAAGGAAACTTTCGAAGAATTACGCATAAACATACGAGAGTTCATGTCGAACAATGAAAAGCTGAGGCAGCGAATGGCAGTAAGGGACGTGGTGTGATAAAAGAAACAGCGAATTTTGAGGACAACAGGGAACTCAAAAGAAACTGCTACGTTGTAATGTATTTACTTCAGAATTTGAGAAACACACAGTCTTCTAGCATATTGCCATGTTGAAAGCCGATGACAAACATGCGACTTGTACGACGTTCGCATCGTCCACGTCTTGGGTGGACGATAACCCGCCGAGATCATACTATACAGAATCATTTCTGCAGTATGTATTTCACAGTCCCAACCAAAATGCGACGCCTGTCAACCGCGATGAAAGGGAAACGGGCGAGTCGCGAGCGGGAAGAACGCGGAAACGCGTTGGTGACCGCGGCACTGCAGCAATGCGGTGCCAGTGGCTCGCTCATCTGAGCGGTACGAGAGGAAAGGATGGGAGGGAAGAAGGAGGTACTCGGGTCGTTTGCACACAGTGTGACCCAGCAGTATACGTACAGTTGGTGCATCTCTCTCCTCCTACACCGAGGTCACTCCTCACAGTTGGGCCAAGTTTTCTTCGAATAGAGCGTCTTTGCTCTTTACAGTTAAGCGATTATTAGTTGTGACACACTGAGTTACCTTTGTGTCTTCTCTATCTTTAACACTAACGTCGTCTTTGCACGTTTTTACCTGCGAGTCTTTTAGCTCTATAGACAGACTCGTCTGATTAGCACTTTTTTTCTATTCTATTAATTGTATAGATTATCTTTCCTAGACCAAGGGCTAGTACAATGCGTGCGTCAAGTAGGCTACCGACTAAGTACAAAAGCTACAACAACAAAAAAACTTATTTCAGCTAAAATAAAATGCCGTGAAAAGGATCGATGTGCTTTAAATTGATGTTGGATCTGCCTGAGCGGCCTCTGCATATCTGGAAACTAACTTGCGTCGGTCTCTTTGTTCGAATTCTTCATTGAAATTTCTGCCTCGTAATCCGCAAGGTACCATATTGGAAAGTAGGTATCAACTTATGAAAGACTCTATGAATACAAAAGCCACAACGACTGGGAAGAACTTATTTTAGGTAAAATGGATTACCGTGAAGGGACCCACGTTCTTTAAACTGATGGTCGATCTGCCTCAGCAGCCTTTATGTATACGTGGGAACTAACTTCGGTAGAACTATAAGTGCTATTGGGTTGTTCATGCAAAGTTATGCCTTATTGTCCCCAAGAAACCACATAAGAAAATAATTATGAAGTTACGGAAGATTTTATAAAAGTGGTAATTCCTAAAAAAAAGTTGCATTTTATAACTACGTCTAGAGACCACGAGGGCAAAATCCGACTCCGTATTCTACGTTGTCCAACCCTTATTCTCTCAACGGATCGTGAATCTGCATAGTGAGGAGAAACAACTGCCTCAATACACCACGTTCTGCGCTCAATGTTGCTTGGTTGCCGCTAAGGTGTGACGATGTCTAACTTCATTTCAGTTACGGAGATGCTGCTATTTCCGCAATACGCGGTGATTTCTTGATAACCCGACCATAAGAGTGGTTGGGAACCTGAACCACCTATAGAGGGGGCTGTGCTCCTTTGCCGTTCGCGCATGTGTGCTATACATGATCATTTTTACCAAGTGTTATTGTGTTCGATCATGCAACTATGTTGTTTTCACCACTCGAAACTGTTTTACAACTTATGCTTTGTCTATTTCTCTATCTTTATACCCGACTATTCTACAGGATAACTATAATTCATTATAACGATTCGAATGCAATAGCTAAAATTTGTCGATACTGTAGGTATGGTAAGCTTGATTGGCCCAGAGTGTGGTCCTCAGGGGTTTTTTAGCAGGAGTGTAGTGTGCGGTTAAGAGGTTCCTACAATACACATGTAATACACATACAAGGTCGGGATAGAGCAGACCTGTCTTGGAGGGCGTAGCCAAAAGACCACTGACTTGACACGTTAATGAGCCACAGTAAGTCATTATATTCACCAGGTATGCATACAGCGATCTCAACGATGCCTTATAGAGTCAAGCGCGTGTCACATCCATGAGGTATCGACCGATGTTCGGTTTGGTCTTCATGATTGCGAAAGTCTCCGTAATATCTCCAAACATAATAGTGAACCTGAATACCGATCATGGGTTCAGAAACCTAATTTCCCTTCATAACCGCAAGAGGAAACAGAATTTACTTAAGTATCGCTTTTTGTAGAAGTTCTCATGTTTCCAACAAGCTCACAATGACCTTTTTTTGTAGTTTTGCAACAGTGATAAATTCCATCGACAATCTGATGTTGAGCTACGACAAGTGAATTCCAGAACATCTCTTCATGAGCGATAGCTTAGGAGCCATAAGGAATCGGTCCAGTTGCCCGACAGGCAACTAAGTGCCCAACAGCTCAACATCTATGCAATAAACTGAAGTTTTCAAGAAAGCCTCGCAATATCCTAGAGAGTCCTTGAGTTGAAGAGTCCTACACGGAGCACATGAATGAACACCTTTTTGAGAAATTACCGCAAGCATTCAATTCTTTAATACTGAAAACATTACCATAACTCTGCTACTTAACGAATAACCTTTCAATTTTATCACTGTCTTCTTGGAAAATAAGCTAGCACGAGGTCGTTATGACGACTTTTATTCGGTTAACGTCTCAGCGTTCAAAGTAGGAAGAATATTATCATTACTCTGTCATTTAACGCAGTCATATAGGCCAAGTGGTGCACAGATCCTCAGTCTCCTACCACTTTTCACTTTCTTATATGGCTCTACAGCGTCTTAAACCTGTATTCCCATCCAAAATCTTAATTTTAATAAAAAAAAAAGCTGAAGACCAGACCAGTGTAGACCTAACCACATCAGAAATTCCTGTTTTAGGTAAACGTATGTGCAGAACTAAAAACGTCTAAACATGCTTTACACAACCATACATAGCTTTTGGATGCCCAGTTTTTTTGTATAGATCACTGCGTAAACTTACAACGTAATAGCTGTGCTAAACTTGAATCCAATGTTATGAGAAAGACTGGATGCCTTTCCTGAAAACCTTAACTACTGTGAGTCAAATAAACCTTCAAGTCAGTGTGTCGTCGTTGAAGTTGGCAGATGAGTAGTGTGGAAGGCTTTTGAGAACTTAGAACAAGTGAGAATCGGACAGTACATGAAAACTGCTACATGTGTCTAGATCGTTCCCAGCTGAGCCTTCGCTACCTTCGAGGCTATGCGCGATGGGTCTTCTCATCGAGGAGGCGGACCCTATCCCGTTCCGAGCATTACTACTTCACGTCAGCAACTAGCTTGGGAGGGTAATTTGCGCAGATATTTTCATCGATTGTCATGTTGTCTAACAGCGCATTCAGTTCAAGCATGCCGCACCAGCATCACTATCACCACTACAAATTTTGACGGTTCGATACTGCCTGAAACAACGGTAGCTTCCTGAATGGTACCCAGGACGTGGATGTGCTACAGTAATTAGCTCCCCATGTCATCCATCTTCAGAGAGGTCATATGCAGGACGGATGTAGCAGCAACAACCGGTATATCCGCAACCGGTCAAGTTTGTCTCGTGACTGATTTGTGTTACATCTGACCACGATTGTGCTTTAAGTGCTCCCACGTGCTGCTTCATGGTGCAATGATGATACCCGAGTGTTTACCTCAACTTACCCGTGTAACGCTTGGACTACCACCGGATGACATCGTGGTTTGTTGTATTCTACGCTGTGCCACCAGCGAACTAGGCGAGTTCCAACGCTCGTTTTTTAAGCGGGAGAGAGAGACAAGAGGCGTCACACTCCGAAAGCTGACGTTGTGCTTACGCCTTATAGGCTGTTGGTCCTCCTTGTCACTCACAGCAGCCACTTGTATTGGATATTCTTTACAGTTCGGTCTTCTTCATCCCATATTTTACTCTTAGCTGCTGTTTACAGACTGCTTTTCTATAGACATGAAGGAAAACCTGGCGTGCTTCGCAATGCATGCGTTAACAAATGGAGGTAAACTAGATTACTAGCCATGTTAGTTTTCTGCGAACTCGTTAGTAACTTTACAGAACGCAAGGACTTTGTCGCTCCAAATTAGCAGTTAAAATGCACAATTCGAACTCATTCTGGAAGTCGACCTTCTATCGTAGTTTAAGATTAATGCCTGATGTGCACATATTGATACATATTATTAGCAATCTACACCAAACGATGAAATGGAGATATCTTGGCGGTGAGCAGAGTTCTACAGAACTATTCGTATTCGTAACTATCGTTGTATTCGATAGTTAGCAAGTGTATACGTTCCCCTCAATCAACATGTATTGAACTGGTGATATGGCCACGGCTCGGTCGCTCTGAGGAACTCATTACAAGCATAAAAGGAAGGATATCTCAACTTAAAAGTGATGATAAAGCACTTTATTGAAGCATAAGGTGTTCTAGACCATCCTCTTTCACTCGCCTCTTCATACCACAAGATCTGCGAAGTGTTCGAGTGCCGTACTGAAACTATAGTGTAAACCTCAACCAAGTTATATTCAAATGAAAAAACATTGGGTCTTCACTGCTCATTGCTTAGATGGGTTATTTAGATCCCATGAGTACTTCTACACATATCGCAGATTCGGTCTCAGCACACGCATCCCTAGTGTCGAACTCACCCAATATACAATGAGAACTGAAGGTGTCCACAGAATAAATTTATAACGTTAACTTTTTATCTACTCCCTACTAAAAATTTTCACGGCAGGGTATTATGTGTGATATAACCACAACGATGCTGAGATATTTCCAAAACACCGGACCGCAGGTGTCTGTGGTGGGTATCGAACGCGCTATTGTTCTTCCCAGGGGTTACCGCGTTCATAACCACACCGTGCGGGTCCTTCGTTTCGCCTGCCTATCAGCTAGTTTTCAGTCGAACGCAAATCATGGTTGTATCACAAATAAATTTATAATTATGCAGTGTGACGCAGAGAATGCGACATTCAAAAGCATCTCTTCGTTCTGGAAAGTGTAACCTTGCCTGTCGTCTTCTTCTAACACTCAACTATTGTTTAAACATTGAAACAATGCTGGTTTTAAAGCGTAAGCACGACTTTAATACAAACACATGTATTAATGTAAAGTCTATACTCTTTTAAAAAGAAGAAACGAAGTCTACTTCAGCTTGTTAAGCAGCTATTGCTCGAGTTTGGCCTTAATGTCTTTCCATTGCTTTCCAGCGTTCATCTAGAATGTAAAGCATATAAACCTTGTTCTGAAGATTAAATAAACACTAAGACATAATTAGATTATAAATCTGACCAAGCATTACGTCACAAGTAGGCAAGGATAGCTATGAACGAATCTGAATATTTGCTAAAGAACGCTCCTAACCTTTTACAATGCTTGGACAGCTTCGTGTCTAACAAGTTTAAGTTGACTACCATATGAAATTTTTGAGCCTCTCTTTTTAAACTATTAACTATTCTCCACTTGTCGGAAAGTAAAGGTGCACCACTAATAGCATAATTGTACTACGAACACTCGAATCTTACATAAACCATGAAGGTTAAGAAAAGTCTGACCTTTAACAAGTAGGGCTAGAAGCTTCTTAAAAACAACTTTTTGGAGTGACAAGTTCGGAAACCAAGGGGAAAAACTGGAATGGTATTTTTAAAAAGGAAAGTGTAAACGAACCCAGTCCCAGTATGCATCTGTAGCCTCGTTGAAGGCATAGTTCATGAAGAAGGCACCAAATGACGCGGCAAGAAACAGGGTTGAGAAGCGACGAGTGATCTTCTGGTAGACGAACGCTCCTACCGACATAACCTCGAACTAAACTTCGAAATATAAAAAAGTGGTTGGCAAATTATTCTCAAAGGACTATGATGAACGGAGAATATCAACTAAATGGAAAATCAGGACTATTAGAATAGTCCTAGAACGAATGAACTAGAATGTTTGGCTGGGTACACTGCTGCCAACTTGACCTTTCCAGGCTCTGAGGAAGGTGGAATCCGCCAAAACTTCAGCTTGTTAGCGAATAAAGAATGAAATAACACCTTCTGTATGCTCAACAAGAATATAAGAATTAGTAGAATAGTGTAGTATGGAATAACATTTGAAAACTTCTACATGTCAGTGAGATACCAATGAGATTTCAAAATGGCGATGGTACGAACTCTGAGGCAGCAATCCAACACATTTTTAAGCAAAAAAGTTCTTCCTTAGATTCTGATATTAAATCAGCCTGTCAGAATCGGAACGCAGTTTGTGCGGAACGGAAAATAAATTTGAGCCATAAGGAAATCCATGGCAATACACCGCTTGTAAGACGAAATACAGTCAATGGAACGTTTCATGGTGCTCTACTAGCATACTTTTAAACAGCCCCTACGTATCCAGAGAATCTAACAATACCGCTGACCTAAGCAGCAATCAAGAGATTTAGCATCCGCGACCACGGGGAAAGAAGATTCGTCTCAAAAATTGCCGGTGGTCCTGCACAGATCAGGGCCTTCAATCCCTTTAATATTGTAACCTACTGCAGCTTGCTGTTTGGCCTAATGGTCTTTTTTCTTTCGTGTTTGAGGTCGACGCTGTTATTTCATAGAGTCTCTTCAGTACGTGCTTCTGACTCGAATAGTAGAAGTGCTAGTTAGGTCTTACCGTCTACAGTCGTTATATATCGTGCTGACAGGGACGTTGGACGAAAGGAGCTTCTTTAGACTGTTCAGATCACATGAGCTTTTCTACAAAATTTTAAATCCGGCTCGCGTTTCGGCACATTCACTTTCTGCAGAGTCACGATAATTCATACCGATTGTACACAGCCGTTCATCCTTGAGATGTACGTCGTCTTAGCCGCATCAAGTCGAATCCTCTGGAATCTTCTTCGATGGGTAATCCACCTGAATTATGCCGGTTGTAAAGAAGGCGAAGGCGCTGGGATGTTAAACGAATAAAAAGTCCTAAATGACCTCGTGTAGGCCGGACTTACTTGAATACTTGGATGGCCCGTTTTCACTGATTGCGCTTTCCCCAGCATAATCTCCACTTTTCGGAGTTTTGCTGGTTTAGCCATTGTTGTCCACTGGAATCCCGACGGCATCCTGGCCAAAGTCTGCCCCAGGTCGTCACCACCACAAGCAGTCGCCGCCCTTGTGGATTAGAGGGAGATCTGCCACCATGCGACTAGTTTGGTACCAGGAGGGTGGTGGATCCTATCTAGAAAAATACGTTAATTATTCATGTTATGGTTAAGTGGTAGTAGATTTTGGAAAGGAAAGGAACGTTGTTTATGAATGAGAAGAAAGGGCAATTGTTGATCTCTTACCGAAGCTGTGCAGTGTTTTTGTTCGTGCTCTCGATTGTTTCTGTCTGGAAACTGATTTTCAGGGAATAAGATGACAAATTCGAAGGGTTTGAGGCGAGGAACCCGCTACATGTTCGCTCGCCCTTTCCGAAGGCATGGTATAGAGCATCTGTCAACCTACTACCGCATTTACAAGCGCGGAGACATCGTCGACATCAAGGCGAACGGCGCTTTCCAAAAAGGAATGCCTTTCAAAGCATATCATGGAAAGACCGGTACCGTCTTCAATGTCACGAAGAGCGCTGTCGGAGTGATCGTAAACAAGCGAGTGCGGTAAGTACTTGTTTCTCTATTTATTTAGTGGTTTTACATCTTGCTGTGTGCGCTCGTTTTTGCAGTTTTTTTCCTTGTTGTCATGAAGATATGTTTGACCCCAGGTTTTTTTTATACAACACCTTTATTGTTATCAACGCATTTGCGATGTTGTTAGGCAGATATGTCGCATAAGTGTCGGGGAACATTGCCTCGTAATACCTATAGGTAGTTTCTTTCTGGTATCTTTTGGCGACAAAGCATTTAATGGGACCGTTTTCAGGCATTGTAGCGTGCTAGAAACTTATCATGATGAAACGTCTTGTAATAATTCCCACGGTCAACTTTCCAATAACCTTGGCATTGAGCGAACAGTCTTTTATATTCATGTTTAGCAAATACAACTTTTTTTTCTATTTCTTTAATTACCAACATACTGACGCTTCAGAGCATTTCGCTTTCCTCAGAGCCTGGAAAAGTCAATTTGGCCGCAATATTCCCAGCTAAACACTTCCATAATCAAACGAAGATATTGCTAAACTAATGAAAACGCTAATGCTACGTATGCTAAGCGCTGGACAATAGCGCGTTCGTTCCCCACCATAGACACCTGCGGTCCAGAGTTTTGCAAATATCTCAGCAACGTTGTGCTTGTATTTCGCTTAGTACCCTGGCTCGAAATTATAGTAGGCAGAAGATGAAAAGGTATAACATTGTGATTTCTCTGTTTAGTTATGGAGGTGTTTGGTTGGATAGATAGCGGTCAACTTTACCTTTCTAGACTCTAAGGAAGGCGAAATTAGCCGAAACATCTGCTTATGCCTAATAAAGAAATAAAATAACACCTCATGTTTACTGAACAAAAGTGTAGAAAATTATTGTGATGAATTTAACCGTCTCACTGAATGCCGCGGCAGTTTCCTCGTATGGTGTACAGAGGGGACGCCACAGAAACCGTTTCTGGTAATAACAGTTTTGAGGTGTATGCTGCACTAACACACATGCATAAGTTCCCCAGGAACCCGGCCCGGCGCTTATTGTGCAACTAGACCAATACAGATGATTGAGGAAGGTATTTGATATACGAGAGTTCTTCCGCCAGCGAGGGTTAGGTGTTTTCGCGAATGCGTGGAAAACTTCTCTTTGTCAGGCAAAGAGGATTCCTAGCTATTATGTATGCTCCATTAGCTTAGTTGATTTTAGTGAGATGTCGGATGTCTAGGATGTGGTTCTTATGGTGAGGGTTTGAAGTGACTGATGCATGGTCTCTAATCTGACTTCGCCCTGTGGCGCTGACGGTTCGCAAACATGCTAGATCAAAACATTTGCCGTAAATTATTTACTTTCAAGAATTACGGTGATGTTACATAAGAAGTATGCTTGTCAACTTTTGATACAAAAAGTGGGTTTTCATATGAAGCCAGGGGTTCATTGCTTATCACTATTTTGGTGGAACTTTCGAAATAAGTACATGCCAAGTTGTATTCAGAGTGTACTTCGAAGGTATCACCAATAAGAAAACAGGGAAAATTACCACCAGAAGGTGATGAACAGGTGTTAGTATCGCCAGACTAGTAGATGATGTATTTGGGTACTTGAGTGGTCCATGTTCACTTCTAGTACGGGCTAGAGCACCTATAATATTGTACGTCTCATGCATTGATCGTCTTCAGCCGCCTGCTTCGAACATGGCAACATTCGCGTTGCCCTCTTTTTAATCCATAGATCATTTCTGTTTACGAATGTAGTTGGTTGATAAGAGCGACAAACACTTGCCCATCGTGTAGCTCTAGAGGACACTTGTATTCGTTCATCTGTAGTCGGTTTACTGTTTGATTTAGTTTATTTTCGCTCATTAATAGTAAGAAAACACACGTATATCTAGTTTTTCTCATTATATGACTGACCATCCTGTGTTTGGATGTGTGTTCCTCTTCGAGAAATGGTAACTGTCGATGGTGTCGAATGTACATTCCGGCTAGATGTCTCGAGCGTCGGTTATGTTTCAGATGAAATCATCAAACGCTGCGGACGATGTTCAGAGTTTTCAAAGTAGTTGAATTAGCAACTCAAGTCAAAAGTCAAAAATGTGAGCACGGAATTCCAGGTCCATTAGTTGGTCGGTGGCTAATAAATTTGGAAGCACCCATATCGCTCTCCTATGTGGTTCCTCTTTCATGTTGTTCTCCGTGTTTATTGAACGCTGAAGGTACACTTGTGAAGTGGACTTTGTAGCCAGAAAACAATGAAGTTCGACTTCCTACAGCTTCGTGCGGCGGTTCTTAATGAACAGAGTTTTCCTCTGATTTCCGCACAATCCTACACATTTTCCCATTCATGGAACTCTTCGTGCACGATATCTCCTTCGTTGGTGCTTCTTAAAAAGATGGTTATCGTCAGATAATCGGAGATTTGATGAGAATTTACCAACAATGCATACGCCTGGCTTGTCCCAGGTAAGTGAATTTATTATCCACAGTGCTGAACAACTTCGGATTTAGCATTTCAGAGACCTTCTTCCATGGAATGGTAACGGGTCGATGGAATTTTCATGACGCGCTTGTGAAAACAGTTGTTCTTAAATAGGACGGATACACTCTCTAAGCACTGTGCACCGGAACATATTGGATTCATTTCGCCACTGTCGAACCATTTTTTGATTAAGCAAACTTCAAGACAATGGACGTGTAGTATGTTAAATAGAATTCTGTCAAAGCCAAGTACTTTTTTATGCTGGAATCCTGCTAGCAGAACCGGTTGCCTCACTCAAAGTCGCGATATATGTAATAGGATAGTCTTCTCGATAAACTTGTGAAGCACATTGAAGAAGCAAATCAGGGGATAGCTGTAATAGTTTCTTCGGTGTATTCTTGGCCAGAACAGACTGGCGAGGTCCTCCACGGGTCTGAGATCCATTCTTATTAAGATGCCATATGAATTTCAAGAGAAGCGATTCTAACTCGAATGAAGTGACTGTGATGTTATTTGGTGCTTGAGCTATCTCTGTCTGCCTTGTATTTGGTAGAAAGTCGAGCTTCAGAGAGGATAACTCGGGGTTCTTCTTTAGTGGAATTTTGGTGGGCGGTGTTACTAATCAGGCATGATGGCGGGAGCTTATATTCGCAGTGGTTCCGACGTCCCTTCTTCAGAATAGTTCACCTTCTTCTAGTAGTTTCTCGAACTTGGACCGATCTCGCAAAGGTCTCCAAATTTATTTTATGTGAACCATTTTAGGTAGGTTGCAGTGAAATAGATGTAGTTTTCTTCTCGAAATGTCTTAGTGATACTGGAGAAGAAATCCATTTTTTTTTCTTTTGAAGATCCGAGGCGTGTCCGACTTAACTTTTAGGTACTCCGAACAGCAGCTTGTAGTCTTTCAGTTGGGTCTTCTTTGGTCTACCTACTCTGTCGACATTTTTTGTGACACAATTTTTCGTGTGTTGTTCTTCCTGCTTTTTGCCTATTATAGAGCAATGATATGGAATTTGGTTTGGCTTGTTGTTGAAAGAAGAGCGTGAAGAAAAGTCTATTTGACGTTTCTTTGACTTACTCCCGTGATCCACTTTCGACAACTTCCCTAGATTCGGTTGCATGTCGCCGATTGTATCATTGCCTAATATCTTGGATGAGGCCACCTACTGTGGCTGCTGAGGGTGGTTCATTGCCGACATAAGCACAAGCAAATAATACCAGTTTCGAGCATAAGGTGCCTTACTCTTAATGAAAAATTCCATCGCTAATGTTAATTTAGACCGACATTAAGCCGTAGATCATTATGCGGTTAACTTTTTAGACCACAAGGACATGCATTGGATTTTATTGCTTGCGAACTAGAAAAAGTATTGTTCTCCAACTTGAGAAACATATTGTAGCTCATTTCAAACATTATTAATTTAAATACAACTCGTATGAAATGCTGAGATATTTGCAAAACTCCGGACCACAGGTGTATGCAGTGGGGAATGAACTGCATTCCTTTTTATACACCTGTGGTCCGGAGTTTTGCAAACATCTCAGCATTTCATACGAGTTATATTTTGCAACATACCCTGCCATTAAGAAGAAAAAGGCAGTAAATAAAAGGGTTAAGATTATTAATTGAAATAGAAGCCATTGGAATTTACAGACGTTGGCTAAAGGAATACAATCTTACTTGTTTAACCATGACAAGATTATGGCTTTTTATAGATCACATACATTTTCGTTCCTTACTTTTCCATCGTGGCTTGTATTTACAATAAGTAAGTTAAAGTTTCGCCCAGTGTTATGTGGTGTTCTAAATCATATGGTAGATTGATGGTTGCGGCTTCTACGCCTGCTTTAGGAAACAGCATACTTCCGAGAATTTTGTTTAGAAATAGCTTTAGGGTGGTAGCAGCACTGTTTCCTTTTTCGGTGATGTTTCCTCAGTACACGTTTTGAAATGTGACCAATCAGTATCGCAGTATCTATATAGACCAATTAGCTGTTTTATTCCTGTTGGAGTAGGTTTACTAGCGGTGATTATCACTGTCTTTACTTTCAGAGGACGCATTATCCCTAAGCGTATCAACATTAGAGTGGAGCATGTGAAGCCGTCCAAATGCAGACAAGATTTCTTGAATCGTGTGAAAGCTAACGACGAGAAGAAGAAGGCTGCTAAAGCAGCAGGTCAAGAAGTTCCTGTACTTAAGCGGCTACCAGTGGAACCCCGAAAGGGTCATCTTGTCAGCACCAAGGACAATGAGCCCGAGCTTCTGGCCCCTCTCCGGTACGAGATCGTAGCCTAGCCATTAATTGTTGTCTATAAATCGTTACTTTGCTGTCAATGTGTCGTCTGTTACTGCAGAATTGGAATATGGTGTTCCTGTGATTAAATCGGGGCTTAGGTGTTGAATTGTTCATACCACCGTTCGTCTGTTATAAACATAGAAACATCAGATTTAAACTTTTCTTGTCACGCGACATGTACACAATGAAGTAGAATTACAATCTTGACATGGTACAGTATGCGATATCTTAGAAATCCTGTTAATTACACAGACGAAACAATACTATTTTTTAATTTGACAACGTAGTATGCGAACTTTTATATATCGAATTTAGAGCATGCAAAATGAGATCACAAGAGAAATAAGAAGTGAGACCTAAAGTCCTTATTCATGTGGTTAGAGGTTGACATGATAAAATAGGGAATTGTCACAGGCCTTCATTGGTTACATAAGGCGAGACTATTTCGTTTTTTAATACCACTGAAACAGCCTGTTTCTTCCGGACACTGATGCTAGTTAGAACACCAGAGTCATGATTCGGATGGCGTTGGAGTGGATCTGCCCCTGCCACGTCCACGGCCTCTTCCTCTTACAGTATAGACCGTTGAGAAGCTCCGAACAGATGACACGTCATCTGGATGTTTTTCCTGAAATTAGGATACATCTGTAGAAGTACGAAGATTGATTCGGTAAGCGTGTTTCAGAATGAGCAACAATAAAAAAATGATCCAAAGAATTTGGATACGAAAGAAGACTACGTACAGCAAGAGAGTTCCGGTAGAGTAGATAAGGCTCCCAAGTCGAGTCTTTGGAAGATGGTAAAGTTGGAGGGCCGTGTTTCTCCAGATACCGCATCCTGCAAGGTCATTCGATTGCTTCAAATACATCACGTTCCATGGAGTTCATTTATTCAGAACAAATATAGTTCTCTTTCCTCTCCGCTATAGATTCTCGCTATGCTTCTAGTCTCCAGGAGACAAACAAGTATAGGTTCCGATTACTCAATCGTTTGTAACTTATAATTGCTCAACTCAAAATTGGTATTAGCGGATGACTCTCTAGTGATCACTCTCGACGGATGCAGTACTTAGTTTGAACTTGGAAAAGATGTGGAAGGTCAAAGATACAAAGTTGTTTAATACTGAAGAACTCTCAACGAGCAATAGGTAGAAATAAAAGAACACTAGGAAGTTATGTTTCTTACACAGCCACTTTATCCTGACGTATAAGCTTTGCACTGAACTCGATGATGACTTCGAGGAAAGTAATATTGAGTGGTTTGCTTCCATTGCCACGACGGGTTTGATTAGGATCATAGCCCTTGAGAGCAAATTGAATGCCATCTCTGGAAAATGTATACTAATCCCTCAATATTTTTAATGCATAGAAAACTAAAGGCATTCACTCTTGACAATGTATCTCGTGCACTGAAAATAGCCGCAGAACGTTGTGCTTAAGAGGGCTTCAGAAACAGATCAATACATGCAGGGTCGCCTCTTAGTGCAGCCGTAAACTAGCTGACACAACGGATGTGGACCTCGCTTATCCCAGTTTTCGTGACGTAGCTACTGTGCAGAATTTGATGCGTTCTTTTCCGCATACGGTTCCATGTGTATCGATATTTGGTGATTAGCTGTTTTAATACAGTAGGTGGATCCGATTAACACTCTCGCAACAATGCCTAATCTCGAGTTTGCTACGGGTGGTACGACGCTTAATGTTCACCCTTTGTGGACTTGTAGGTCTATTGAACATAAATGCCGATTTAAGCTCTCCAGGTCAATCCTTTTGACGGGTGATTGCTAATGGGACTGGTTAGAAAGGAAGCTAGCTGAGGAACAGAGGAAACGAAGGACCCGCGTGGTGTAGTGATGAACGCGTTAGCCCCCAAAGGGTAATAGCGCCTTCGTTCTCCACCGCAGACACCTGCGGTCCAAAGTTTTTCAAATATCTCAGCATCATGATGGTTGTATAAACAATAATTTTCTATAAACAGAGCACTTCTTTGGTTGTATACATAAATGAATTGTAGGGAACACTGCGTTGCCGACCTATGGGTATGCAATACATTTCTGGTGCTATTTACTACATTGAAACGGCGCGTGTGGCGCAGTGGTCGGAGGTTTCCTGAAACACACACGTGGAATTAATCACCGCGCCCATGGCCCACCAAGCCTTCCATTCCTCTGCGGTCGGCCAATTGGTACCAGACTTGTCTGGGAGGATAGCAGCACTGGCTCGATACATCGGTAGGCCACCGCGAGTCATTGTAAAGGCCAGATATGCATTCAATCACCTCCAAACGATATTAAACGAATCCGAATACATGGCGCATCCTTTAGGAATTGATCAACGCTGAGAGTTTTATCCTCTATTTATTTATTTTACTTACTAAATGTTACTACGGGCCATCACACGAACACATTGCTCTCAGAATTTGGAAGTGTTTTGCAAATTATAGGTCCCTAATTCCGTAATTTTTATACTCACACACTACACAACTACTGCTAACTACAGCAATCAGGATTGAAATAGTGTTCGACAAATTTCTGGTTAACGAACTCATTCGAAAGACGGTTTTTCTATATTTTTAAGTGCAGAATAGAGCTTTTCCGAAATAACGCCCAAAACAACGTGTGTTGCACAAGCTATCACTTGGTAACAAAAAGTGTGGGAAAGCGGTTCTAGGTGTTAAGATAAACCACCGAAAAAAAAGTGAAACTTATAGATGTTTTAACGGACACCCCCGCAAAACCATTACGACCCTGTACGTGACACTCGTTGCGATAGTGTCAATGCGTGTATGTAAATGGTGGCCATCTGATTGCGTTATTTGATAGCTATGTTCGAGAACTTTACAATCAGTAACAAACACGTGTCAATGCTATAATCTAAGGAACTGATTTAAATCAGACTAAATGGAATAACTTTCCCGAAGATTTCAAGCAAATCCGACTTAAGCGCAGAAGATCTATTTCACCTCACTTATGAATCAATCTTATAGGGCACACTTTTGATTAATGTGAAGTGGAGATGGAGAAGTCTTCTTCTATAATGTGTTAGGCAATGATATAAAAGAAGTCCGAATCCTCTTTTTCACTAAGCAGGCTCCCAGCCAAATGGCTGATAAGTTTTCGCGCTTGGGTTTCAAATTAGCTTTAACCTTCACATTTCTGTCATAATTTTTCACCAGTCCTTTTGAAGCATGCTACTTCCCCACATGAAACGCAAAAAATATGAGAAGTGCTGAAATTTAAAAGTGTGAAATACCTATGCACTACAGCCACTGCCTCTCTATTCTTAATGTGATCATTCCCGAAAGCAACAGCGAATCTTTTAGCCAAGTCACGCAACTGGTGGAAGTCGTCCGAAAGTGGGTCAACGAATTCTTGTCCAGTATTCATCTAAACGAACAAATTTAGATAAGAAGTACTTCCAATGTTCCAAACACATTTATACAAACCCTAATGCTTTCGTAAACATCAGTTAAAGCTCTAGTTACAGCTTTAGCACAAGCAACGAAATTGAGATCCCGACATTTGTAGAGCATCTGCTTTAAGATATCACCAAAGTCCGAGTAGAACTGAAGAAGCAACAAGATAAGTAAACATTGGGCTTAACAAAGATTCTAAACCGGAATACCTCGCAGTAGTACCGAAGAACGAAAGCAGCATCTTTTACCGGAAAGACACCATGGAGAACCATTTTGCAATATTGTGACAAAAGGCTGCGTTTCTAGAACACCATTCGCACACCACATAAACAACTTAACATAGTAGATTTCACAAGAATTGAACTGGATACCATATGCATTAGCTCTACTTGCTGCTGCTGATCGAGTTGAGTATCTTCCGAAGGAGGAATGAAAACATTATCATTGACGAATGACTGCATCTTGAGAATGAAATCCTATAAGATTAACGAAATAAGTGATATGAAGACAACGAAAATAACTCACTTTGATCCACATAAATGTGCAGTGTGCCGTTTTGTGCCATCGTTTTGTCTTTGACAGTAATCAATAGTTATTTTAATAATCTAGGATTCCCGTTAACAACAGGTCTTCTTCTACTATTAGAAAACACAACCAATCGCTCACGTATTTGTTCAAGAAAGGAATTTTAGCGCCCTCATATATGCCACCCCCACCACAGGACCGTGGGATACATTAAGACGAAGAAACATCCGAAAAGCAGTTTTTTGCAAATTATTAAGTGCAAAATAGCGCTTTTCTTGGACCACACCTGAAATAACATTTGTGGTGAAAGAGCTGTCTATTGAATAAAAAGAGTGCGAGAAAAGAAACTATCAGAACAAAATATGCATCGAGATCAAAGAATGCTGTTCCTCGTGTTTCTCTGTCCAAGTGCGTCTGTTAACACATTCGATTTCATAAATGTTTTCCTTCCCAAAATCAAGCTTTGGTCGTTGTTAACAATGCTGACAATTAGAACATGGAAACGAGACTTTCCCTAGCTGGAAGATGCGCGTGCTTACATTATCCAGGCGCACAATTAGAGGCTCTAGATGGGCACCATGTGTCTTCAGCTCTTCATTGAACAAAATTAGTGCGTCATTAAGGCACTGGAAAGCCTGAAAATCTGTAAGATTTAAAGTGCACCATGAAATTGACGTGGCCTATAAGTTACAACAACTCACTAGCTCTACTCCTGAAGCACCTTCACTAAGTATTATATTAACATCATGCAAAAACTGATCACGACGCTTTCTCAACTTCTTAACAGCCTCCTTAAATAATTCAATTTAGATACTTCTACTTCTATTAGATTGCAATAGGTCTTACTATTTTATTTGGCTCTTGATCCCGTACAAGACGCAATAAGTCCCAATTCAGCTGCATAAATAGGAACCATATCGATTTATCGATGACGTCACGCGGTGCCCTGTCATCGTGGTTGTTGAGTACATGCAACACCACATCCCAGAGGTCCCACTTCTTCAGATCGATGTGGCTAAAACCAAAAATAAAAAGCGGCATTCCAGATTATCGTTCGCTTAAGTAGTTATCTTGTAGTTATCCATAATTTTTCGCTTTTTAACGGTTACCGAAGCGGAATACATGTAGGCATAATGGCTAATGTGTTCTAAAAGCTGCATAAGGAACCAGACACTACCTAGCAAATGCTGTGATTTTGCGAAAAGCTGCCAACATCGCTGCTTCGTCTTCTTCGTCCCACTGCTCTTCATTCATGCACCGTTGCACAGTATGGCGTAATTGCAGAGCTAATCCATCGATGAGCTAAGCAAGGGTTGTGAAGATATGAACAAAAGATTGTTTCAAAAGATAGTAATTAGAAAATTAGAGATATCTACAACGGAAAGTAAAACTCACTTTCAACCTGTACGTCTCTGTATGCTGTGCAACTGATGTGTTAGTTGAAAAGTACGTGATCATTTCAGCTACAGTGTTCATCATCTCCTCATCAGCATGTTTCTCTACCACCATATCGATTACCCTCATCAGTTCGGCAAGGTGCTGAACAGTTGAGATTAGTGCTATAAAAGGAAAAACAAATGGAAACACTGATTTACGTTTTCAAGTCGACCAGCCATGTACATATCAAGTTGGAAATTAAGCGGTAGCGTAATTAGGTTAGCAACCTTGTCTCGATCCGCGATAAACTGAAGTAAAGATCTAACTACACATAAAATTCTGTCTTACGAAGGTTTACTGCAATAGGGATTGCACCAAAGAATTAAAATAGATGTAATGGCGCTGTACCTTTTGTAGCAATTTCGGTAAAGCAGGAATCAGAACTTCAGAAAGTCGGTTTCGATCTTCCAAAAGTGTACGACTCTCTTTAGTAGATGGCGCTCCTCTCTTGACAACCGACCTACCAACAGGCGGCTCACCTGTGGCTGCCTGACGAACAGAGCATACCAGGATTTCAATCAACTGTGATTCACTTGATTCTACTGAAAACGTCATATGACAAGCCATTGAATGAATGGGATTTTGAATGAATTATAAACATAGTTACTTATACATAGATATAAAACTCATACAACGGATCAGCTAGCGTATTAACATAAATGTTAATCACCTTCATCACTTAGCAATAAATCTACCATTGTTTGCCAGTCCTTTATCATTGGGTTTGTGTCAATCAACGCATCGACGAGATATGTGGCATGGTCATGACACTTAAATGAATTCAGAGAAGAGACAATCTTGAACCAATTCCGATGAGATTTTAAGATTTTTCACCTCTCCCTCAATGTAAAACTGAATGAGGTCTTGTATAAGCTTCGCGTTATCGCCAATTCCACTCCGACTTGAATTCGTTACGTTAGACGCGCGTCCACGATGCGTATGTTGGAAGACCTAAAATTGGTAAAGTGCTGCTAAATAACATGATGAAATCTTCAGAATAGAACGTGTTGTTAAAGAAAGTCGAACAATATGGAAGAAGTGAATACCTTCGTATTGAGAAATTCACCAGCAGCAACAGCTAGGCCACGATGGTTCGAGTATACAAGTTCATAAATCGGAACACAATCTTTCAACTGGAGTAAATTGGGAAAAACCCTAAAATGCTACGTTTGCCGCTCATAAAATAAAATGATATAAGCTTAAACTTAAAGTCGCACCGATAAATACTTGTCATAAGTTGACAGGTCTTCATTGCAACTTCATTTTCCTTGTCAAGAACCATAGACACAAGCCTGTCCTTGAACTTGTTTGTGAACAACTCCAACTTTAGCAAAACATCCTGCTTGTCATATAGAGGCAAGAGAGCAGAAATGCACTTCAGTCGTACATCGGGGACCTACCAATACGAATGTTTGTAAGAAGATTGTTACAGAAATGGTAAGATAAGAAATGAACCAGTACTACTTCACCTTGTCATATAGGCTCCAGCCAATATATTTTAGATAAGAGTCCTCTAAGAAGTGATCCGGATATACCAGCATCCAATTTCCAAGCTCGGTAATACAAATCGAACGCGTATCCGGAAGGACGTCTCTAGAAAGGTGAACGGTAAGAAAACATATTCACAAACAATGTGGCCAACGAAACGTATGACCTCAATGGCTTTAAATAATTGTTGAGCGAACCTATATCGATGAACAAATACGCTCTTGAAGATGTACTGCAGCATCTGACGAACATCATCCGTACGTTCTTCTATCTGCAAAATGTACGCCCATTAAATGAAGAGGTTAGACTTTGGCATTTCATCAAAACCTACTGAGGAAAAAATGCAATAAAGACGGACACTTTAATGTGTAAAGAAGAAAGTATACCTCGTTCTTCTTCTGAATTAATACATCCAATTTCTCGTTAGTGCCAGAGCTTTGTTTCAACCGAGCCTTCTCAGCCTCTAACTGTTTTGCGTTACGATCCTTCACAGAAACTAATTCCAAGGTTACATCTACTAGAGCTGAGGAGATCTTCATTGCTGCAAATGATTCACAGGAGTGAACGAAAGAGTCAAACACAGTAAGCTCAGTTCTCAAATTACCACTAGATGAAATATTCTACAGTGAAAATGCTTTAGGGTAAACTACAAGGCAATCACCTGCGAACGTTGCTGTGTGCCTGAATGCACGAACTTGGCTATCTGCTAAACCAGTTAACAATTGTATCACACTGTCCATCATACGCTGGTCAAAAATCAGTGAGGATTTGCATTTATCGATCCAGACCTGTAGGAAAACAAATATCAAAAACGATATTTCATCAACAACAAAACAGTACTACTCATGGACCGTTCGAACTCACATAGAGCATAGAATGCAGGTTATTACGAAATTTCTTCCACTGCATGCCAGTAAGAATCAGTGGATAATCGCCGGAATCTTCATCAAAGTCTTCGGTCATTCGTCGAATAATTTCACTAAAGAAAAAAAGATGACAAAATGGAAGAAATGAAATGGAAAGAACTTATAGAACCTATATTCCATTGTGCTTAGCATGTGGGCATTGATTGTCCCTTTACAACCGCAACATGAAATAAAGAACTGCTGCAACTTTACGAGCGCAGCATCAGGATTCCGTTCATACTCTTCAATCCATTCATCGATTGTTTGCTAAAGCACAATTGCTTAGTGAGTAATGTAAAGCACAAGCACTCATTTGTGCGTCTTTGTTTGGCTTCCGAAGTTTTAGACAAGGTAGTAAACTGATATAATGTGGTATAGAAGCACAATGAAGAAAAAGTACAAAATACCTCGAGATTTCTTCCAGTTTTTACAGCTCCAAAAAGGCCTGTTTCTTCAATCTCTACAGCACTATGAATTTGTTGGTCGCCTAGTATAGATCTTCGCACTCCCACACGTGGACCGCGAGCTATACCGGTACCACGAAGACGTCCTCGTTTCGGCTAAAGTAAAATAGGTGATCTAGCAAAAAAAAGCTGGCTCCTTAATCACACACACACAGTCTCAATCGGCGTCAAATGGTAATGTAATATAGGACAGTAACCTTTAGTAGATACCCCAAGATCAGAAAGTTGTGCATTTCTATCTATGAATCCCAGATTAGAATTAAGCTGGGCCATCTCTGCTATGCTCTCGCTACAAAGCAAGACAGCAAAAAAGGCAGCGGACCAAACCCGTGATGCCCTTGGTGACCTTTGAGCAAATGAGGGTCACTGAGCACCGCAGGTCGGAGACATGCACAAACTGATTTCATTGTAGCTTGCTAGAATTGCTCGATAATTGACGGGATGACAAGTGATAAAGGTGGCATTGACCAATTAACGAGTAAGCGTCACAAATAAAAGGATGTCGTGTTCGAACAGGATTTAGCTGCTCAACTCGAATAACCTTTATGTCAGCTCATAGTGAATACGACCCGAGCAAAAGTCATAGATTAACTGCGTTACAGGTGATAACGCTGATTAAAAAAAGATGGAGCCATTGGTGTTGATCGATCCCCAAGTGATGCGCTATGTATGCTACTTCATTAACCATCGGTTGCAGGTGAATGACCGCATATCTGCCTTTAACAATGACTCTTGGTGGCGTGCCAATGTATCGAGCCAGTGCTGCTATCTTCCCAGACAAGTCTGGTACGAATTCGCCGCACCTGAAGGGATGGAGGGCTTGGCGAGCCTAGGACACGGAGATCGACCCCGTGTGTCGATCGACGGACGACGGTGCCTAATCTAGCCATAACGATGCTGAGATACAACCACAACGTTGCTGAGATATTTGCAAAACTCTGGACCGCAGGTGTCTGAGGTGGGGAACGAACGCGCTATTGTCCTTTCCGGGGAGTAACGCGTTCACCACCACACCATGCGGGTCCTTCGTTTCGCCTGTCTCTCAGCTATTTCTATTGATCTTTGCCACAGCAATCACCCATCAGCGGGATTGATCTGTCCTCGTTTCGCCTGTCCCGCATGGTGTGGTGGTGAACGTGTTACTCCCCGGAAATGATAGCGCGTTCGTTCCCCACCATAGATACCTGCGGTCCAGAGTTTTGCAAATATCTCAGCAACGTTGTGGTTGTATTTCGCTTAGTACCCTGCCGTGAAATTATAATAGGCAGAAAATAAAAAGGTATAAAATTGATGCTGAGATAATTGCAGAACTCCGAACCGCTACTGTCTGTGTTGAGGATTTAACGTGCTGTTACCCTTTCCGAGGGCTAACGCGTTCACCACCACACCGTGCCGGTCCTTCGTGCTTCATGCAAAAAACTTCATAAGAATGCAGACACTCACAGCGCTCCACGAAGCCAATGATGAAATATCGTCATGAGTTGGTCTCCTTTTGCGACCTCGAGTACTAGCAGTGGGAGAACGGAATACACTGTCATCGTTTGCAGCTTCTAAAGTTTCGCTAAAAAAACATTCAATGGTATTGGCAGAAGAAAAATGACGAAAACGCCTTTCCTCCAAAGAAGAAACAGTCATGCACTCATGATTAGAAAGCAACACACTTGTGTTGACTTGAAGATGAACTAAATCCGATACTAGTGGAACTATTCAATTCTGCGTAGTTAATTCTTTGACCTCGAGTTGTCATGCGGTTTGGGGACTCAGAAACATCAACCATCTGAGCATCTTCCATGGCACACTGAAACTGGTCAATTGGAAATCAAGAAAACACACGCACAAATAAGAAAAGTTAGCTTGATCTGGATTCGTTTGTAAAGTCTCATTCATAGACGCCGTTAACAAGCGACTTAACGCCGTTAAAAAAACACCTTGCCTTAGAACCTTTAAAACAACCAAGAACTAATACTTACGAAAAATACTGACAATTAAAATAGGTGTACAAGTTCTGGAAGAGAAAACCCGCCAATTACAAGAGTCGTTACTGGAATTTACAGATGAGAGATAAGAGCGTTCGTTTGTGTCCGCATTTGCACAAGACGCGCAATAGTTGACGAACGTCGCCAGGTTCCGTAAATTATGCTTAGATCTTTGGAAAGTTGAACTGAATCTCCAAAACAACTGGGCGCTGCATTGTTGCAGAAAGTAAGGACAGAAAAGTCGTAGTTCCTAGATATCGTTACTTTACGGCTGGAGAAATGGGAACAGATTAAGCGTTCGTGCCAAGTATAACCCGTACACGTTGTTGCTGTAATGAGCGCTGGATGGTGTCATTCGCGGATCTAGTCATCAAAGCCATTTTAAAATCGCAATCCTAATCGAAATTAACTGGTAAGTTCTGCGGAACAAGAAGTCTGTTTGAGGGAACGCCCCATCAATAACCACATACATTACCGACCGATCTCGTACAGAACTGCATTCAGAACTAACCTGCAGTGGCGCTAATGACATCGCTATTTGGCTATCCTGCTGCTGGGATCCTGCGGATGACTCCTCATCGTCTTGCGTCACTGCAAACGTCAGACTTAGCACTGCACTCAATGCTTCCGTTACCTTCGATGGTGACATCCCATTGCTAACTCACGGTCAATCAGTTCGATCCTGAGACGTTCCACTTGGTATTCCGCCACAATACGATCCTACAGCATGCTGAGTGATTACATTTCTCGGATTTCAGTGTGCACAGAAATGCACGGAAGACGTACCCTTTGTTGCTCCAGGGATTCGATGCGGCTGTCCTGCTGCTGGGATCCTGCGGATGACTCCTCATCGTCTTGTGTCACTGCAAACGTCAGACTTAGCACTGCACTCAATGCTTTCGTTACCTTCGATGGTGACAGCTTATTGCTAACTCACGGTCAATCAGTTCGATCCTGGGACGTTCCACTTGGTATTCCGCCACTATACGATCCTACAGAATGCTGAGTGATTACATTTCTCGGATTTCAGTGTGCACAGAAATGCACGGAAGACGTACCCTTTGTTGCTCCAGGGATTCGATGCGGCTGTCCTGCTGCTGGGATCCTGCGGATGACTCCTCATCGTCTTGCGTCACTGCAAACGTTAGACATAGCACTGCACTCAATGCTTTCGTTACCTTCGATGGTGACAGCCTATTGCTAACTCACGGTCAATCATTTCGATCCTGGGACGTTTCACTTGGTATTCCACCACTATATGATCCTACAGCATGCTGAGTGATTACATTTCTCGGATTTCAGTGTGCACAGAAATGTATGGAAGACGTACCCCTTGTTTTTCCATGGATTCGATGCGCATCCTCCCTCCAAACGGAAAGAAAAAACCATTAAGCTGAAATAGACATTTTTGGAACATGTCGATATACTTTCTTTGTATACTGCATACTTGCGGCATCAGAGCCTAAGCAGCAACCAGTACTCGAATTGGCATCTGCAGCTGAACAAACACGCCTTCGTTGCTGCATGGATATGACCACAGCAGAGCGCTTTGGAACCCTAACAGTGGTTTGGGGGAATGAGTGACTGAGTTATACCTTTTTATTTTCTGCCTACTATGATTTCGCGGCAGGGTACTAAGCGAAATACAAGCACAACGTTGCTGAGATATTTGCTGCATGGTGTGGCGGTGAACGCGTTACTCCCCGGAAAGGACAATAGCGCGTTCGTTCCCCTCCATAGACACCTGCGGTCCAGAGTTTTGCAAATGTCTCAGCAACGTTTTGCTTGTATATCGCTTAGTACCCTGCCGCGAAATCATAGTAGGCAGAAAATAAAAAGGTATAACATTGTGATTTCAACTACAGCTGCAGCTTAACTGGGTTCTATGCCGATTTGGGCGCCCCAGATCAATCCCGCTGACGGGTGATTGCTGTGGCAAAGATCAATAGAAATAGCTGAGAGATAGGCGAAACAAAGGACCTGCATGGTGTGGTGGTGAACGCGTTACTCCCCTGAAAGGACAACAGCGCGTGTTCGTTCTCCATTGCATACACCTGTGGTCCGGAGTTTTGCAAATATTTCAGCATTTCATACGAGTTATATCTCAGCAACGTTGTGCTTGAGTGACTGAGTGTTTGTGGCCCCATTATTGGGATTACAGAGCCAGCATTGAGGATTTTGTCCCTACACTGCCTGGTAGGTTCCATACATGTCGATCAGACTTGCTACCCTATTGATGCCCAAAATCAGAATTTAATGAGTTACAAACAGTCACATCTGGATCTGTCACGAGAAAAAATCGCGGATTGTACAGTGTTTCTTCCGGTGAATCATAGTTGCACCACCCATTCTGTGGCTCTTCAGGAAATTTAGAGAATTATCTTACTTAGGAATGCTGCCAGCACTGAAGCAAATGGTGCTCAGAACTCGATTAAACCGAAGGACGGATAAATAGCAGTCTAGCAAATGTGCTCCACTCACGTTTCTAATTCCGGTTCTAAGACGTTAAGTCTTCATTAAATCCAGCGAACTACCTAATGATCGGGATAGGGATATGAAAGGTAAGCGCCAGAGACGATGTAAATGTGTTAGGATTTGCCTTAACTACAATTAAAGTACCACCCTCCCTCCAATGGATTACAGCCTTGAACTGGCTGAACTGGCTGATGGCATTTCTGAGTGCCTGACTACAACCTAAAACCGTGCGTGGACTCAATGAAGGTCTCCCAAGGTGTGGAGAAGCAGGATATTTCTTCCGGAAGCTCAAATAAGAGCAGGGTCACCGCCATCCTGCTGTCCAGAAAGTCGCAAGGTGCCATATCTCTCTCTGATCCATAAGAGCGGCGCCTTTCTGGTGTAGTGACGACATGAAGAAGGCTTCGGCTAAGCTGACTTTGCAACTTCATGGAACCACATTGATTAAGCCGGAAAATCTCCACCGACAATGTCGTGCAGTGAGACAACTGATGAGACGCGATTAAATATGGATTGCACAGGACCTCACTGGAGACGGACATTGCAAGTACGCCCACAACACTTCATGGATACTACTTCTAGCGCTGCAGCTATTACTCCAGAGCGGTCTCTTTAGACGCTGATCTTTACCCTCCTCTTCAGATCACAGGTCGCATCAAATCCATTTCATCGCCATACAAGTGACAAAAGGCATAGACAGTTAGATGACGGAACTTTCGTGATGCGTGGAGAGAAATTTCCATTACGAAATGTGGGGGGAGTTGGCCTCGTCGTACACTCACCTGTTTCACATCTAATAACCTCGCATGAAATTCCTTCACCGCCTTGGTCATTCTCCGTCTGCATATTCCACGACAAAAGACAGCCAGTATCACTGCTAGTCACGGATTTTTACAATTCACGAAAGCGAACTGGAAGCGTTTTACGGGCAGATGGAGGGAATAATCCGCAATGAAGAGTGCCGCCAATTCATTGTTGGGGATTTCATTGTGAGATTAGGAACGGTCCACGAAATTGAACACGGGGTAACAAAATTCGAAATTGGAGATCTAAATGAGAATTGGAGCCGTCTCCTAGAGCTCTTATCCATAGCATGGTTGCTCCATCGGAGTTCGTTTTTCGAGAAAAGAGATAATTGTTGATTAGTGATGGGAAGCTTATTAACAGCATGATTCATGTGGAGGTCAACCACATTCTCAAGAACAGAAGATGGCTCCCATTTGACATCGCTGTAGTTTCAGTATTCTGCACTGGATTTGACCTCCGCCTTCTCACTGCGAAGTCTCGATCCAGTTATAAAGCATAAATAAAGGATAAAGCTCTCAGCGTTGATTTATCCCTGAGGGATGTGCCATGCGTTCGACTTCATCAAGCATTGTTGGAGATGATTGAATGGACTTCTGACCTTTACAATGACACGCGGTGGCTTACCGATGTGTTGAGTCAGTACTGTTATCCACCACACAAGTTTGGTACCAATTTGCCGACCAGGGTTGGAAGGCTTGGCGTTCCTGGGGGTGCAAAGATTCATCCTATGTGTATATTATGTGTACTGCAGGGCGCCTTCGACCACTGCACCATACGTCCCCCGGTCCCGCCATAAGCAGGAAAAAAGTCCTTGCCACCACCAAAGAAGAACAAGGCAAGCTATGGTGACGAGAATATTCTAAACGAGAGACTATCCAGGAAAATTAATAACAAATCGACGGAGAACTGCAAACTGGTCGTTTAAGGTCTTAAAAATGGTGATAGACAATATATAAAAGAAAGACTTTAGACTCTCCATCACCACTAATGAACAGTTTTGAAAGGTTAGCAGACTGAATTATGATCTAACTCTGACACTGCTAGCACGGGTGATAACAAATTTCACTCATGGAAAGTGTTTTTAAGAGGGCTTTTAGGGGAACACCACGGATCTCCCTTATACTAGGGATCTCGAGCCGGTTAGTCGCGAAGCTACGTGGCGCGTCCCCAGGTGTCGGATAGAGGGTTAATCGCGGACCAAAAGCGACCTTTTCTTCCCTGAGACGCAGGTGGATCCAGGAGATGGACTCCCTGTTTCTGTTGAGCTGATTTGGCACATACTTTCTGCATTTGCTAGGCGTATTCATGCATGCGTGTGTGGGTGCATTCTTGCTTATGCAGATTGTATTCTACGAGTCAATTCGGCCAAAAGCCTGCAATCAAGTGATAGGGAAGCATATTTGAGGCGGTTAGGAGTCGCCTCCAACAAATAAGCTCCATGTCCACTCTGGGAGAACCTGGCAAGCTACCTGTGTGTATACCCAGCCCCCACGTTCAAAGCCTAGCAAGCTATACGTGAGTATCAAAAAGCTAAAAACAGTAAAAGAAACGGGCCTCATTCCCCTGACCCCGAAAGAGCCTCCAATTCGGCAGCGTTGGGTAGGACGGGTACGGAGAGGCTGCTAAAATCTCAGGGCCAATGGAAGCTGCCTGGACTGCAAGGAACTTAAGGTACCTGTCTGTACCTACAATGCACGTACACTTGCATCCGAGTCCTCAATTGGAAGATTTGCTCGTGCAAGCAAAAAGGATAAGGTACAATGTCATCGGCCTGGCCGAGACGAGACGACATCACCAATTCAACGCCGTCTGCGACATCGGAGAAGAACTGCTTCTCGGAACATGCAACAGTAGAGCAGTCGGCGCCGTCGGCGTTCTCGTCAACACGAGTTTGTCCATGACATCGATTCATTCGAACAACTATCAATCCTAATTGGACGTTTACAATTGAAGAGATGTGGATCAATACTGGACTTGACAATCTTTGTCGTTTACGTGCCGAGATCAAATTGTGACGAAGAAAAAGCCGAAGCGTTTTCTATGGACTTGGAGAAGTTCTGCAGAGAAGACCATACATTCTTTAAGGCCATCATTGGAGATTTTAACGCTACGATTGGACCAAGAAGAACGTCTGAAGAACCTCACATTGGGACCCACGGATTAGAATGGAACGAACAGGGTAAGCGGCTTCCCGAGTTTATGAATGCCAAGACCATCCATGTTAACTCGCAATTCCAGAATCACCCTCAACGCAGGACATGAGAGTCTTCCAATGGAGAGAACCATAACGAAATAGACCACATTATAGTAAACCGAAGGTTTTGCCTAGCTGATGTCGCTATTCTCCCAAAATCTACCACACCGGTT